TCAATTTTGCATTAAACTTAAGGACTTAAAACATTTTTATTCTTTAAAAAAAATCAAAATGTATTCTAAACATACTATTCACGGGATTAAATAATATTCTTTTTTTTTTCTTAGTTCTATCATTAGATTGAGAAACATACGAAGGTGTCACCTGAAAAACAATACCATGCATTTAATGAAACATTGATTGATTAAACAAAATGTCTGATATTACTACACTTTAGTTTTACATTAGTTAAATAAAACATTTCCCATTAGTTGTAACTTTTAATTCTACCTGTATTTGCAATGAAACACTAGATCATGTGAATGCAAACAGTGAAATGCCCACACAATGATTGCGACATTTGAACGAAACACAATGAGAACGAGAGAATAGAAAACGTGTAATAGAGAGAGAGAGAGGGATTGTGTAACTTAAATTTCTTGTATTTTTTCTTGAGATTCTATTTTTTAAAAAGTTATATATTTTTTAAATGACAAAAGTTATAAAATAATTAGATTTGAAAATGTTTGAGGCTGATCACAGACAGACATATCCAAAAATAAAGGCTGCGGCATATGTTAGTTCTTCCCTTCCCTAGTTGCTCTGCTTAGGTACGTGTATTTTCATCGTCGTACTGTTCTGTCTGCTGATATTTTCTTTCTCTCTGTTATTTTCTTTGTTTGTTATGTTCGATATAAACCTCACACACCACTCTATCTTTTCACACAGTTCTCTTTCTCTCTTTTCTCTGTTTTCTGTTCTTAAAGTTTCAGTTTTTTTTGGGTGAATTACGTTGCCATCATCACCATGGCCATGAAAAGTGCTGCTTCCTCTGCCATTCGCTCTCTGCTTTCCTCGTCCTCTTCCACCTTCTCCAGAAACCTTCATGTAACTAAACTTTCAAATATCTTCATCATCTTCTTTCTCCCATCTTTACTACGCTTTTTATTTTTTGATAAAAATCCAAGTTTCTCCAAAACAATTCTTTCCCATACACATGACAGTTTGATCGGAATCTCACCATCAATTTTAATCACTGACCCAGTTTTACTTTTTCATCAAAGTAAAAATGCCCAGTGAAAATACTAAGTTATTCATTCAGACGATGAGCATGATTAATTTTTTCTTAGGCAAGATCATGAATGATATTCAGTGCTTGAACTTTGGTTTATGCCTGATTGTGAATGTATATTTTTTTCTTATGGTTGAGAATAGGCTCCTGCTGAGAGGAAGAAGATTGTGGGGGTGTTCTACAAAGGGGGTGAGTATGCTAAGTTGAATCCCAATTTTGTGGGATGTGTTGAAGGAGCATTGGGTATTCGTGAGTGGCTTGAATCACTGGGTCATCAGTATATTGTCACTGATGATAAAGAAGGACCCACTTCTGGTTAGTATATATATCTTCAAAACTTAATTTAACTTCATCTAATATTGTTTATCTTGAAACTTCATTTGATTTACCTACCTAATGCTTCATACTTATGACTATTTGCTACTTGATGCAGAACTTGATAAACACCTACATGATGCAAATATCATCATATCTACTCCATTTCATCCTGCATATGTCACTGCTGAGAGAATAAAGAAAGCCAAGAATCTAGAGCTGCTTTTGACTGCCGGAATTGGTTCCGACCACGTTGATCTCAAGGCGGCTGCTGCTGCTGGTTTGACTGTGGCAGAGGTAACCGGAAGCAACGTGGTGTCGGTTGCCGAGGATGAACTGCTGAGAATCCTTGTTCTTGTGAGGAATTTCTTGCCAGGGTATCATCAAGCTGTTAATGGGGAATGGAATGTTGCTGGCATTGCACACAGAGCGTATGATCTTGAAGGCAAGACAATAGGAACCGTTGGTGCTGGACGAATCGGGAAGCTTTTGCTGCAGAGGTTGAAACCTTTTAACTGTAATCTTTTGTACTATGATAGACTCAGGATGAATCCTGAATTGGAGAAAGAGATTGGAGCAAAGTTTGAGGAGGAGCTTGATGCTATGCTTCCAAAGTGTGATGTAATTGTTATCAACATGCCTCTCACTGAGCAGACAAGGTATACTTTTACTATCTCAATTACTCAAAATCATGCTATGTATAATTTCTGTAACATTCACAAGGGATTCATTCGTAGATAACAGCACGTAAGAATAACAGGTGTTTTGGTTTGTATTATGTATATTCCATGGTGTGTTAATATTGAGATTCTGTGAGCCTAAGAGATGAGTAGTGAGGAAAGTTATTTGTGTTTCAGAGGATTGTTTGACAAAAACAGAATTGCTAAGTGCAAGAAAGGTGTGGTGATCGTTAACAATGCTCGAGGGGCAATCATGGACACTCAGGCAATTGCTGATGCTTGCACTAGTGGCCATGTTGCAGGTAACTCTAAAACCAGTTCACAGAAAATTCTTTCCACCACCAAAACATGTGAAACTGCAATAATGATTTTTGTGATGAACAATTTGTATAGGTTATGGAGGGGATGTTTGGCCTGTGCAACCAGCTCCAAAGGATCATCCATGGCGATTCATGCCAAATCATGCAATGACTCCTCATATTTCTGGCACTACCATAGATGCACAGGTATTATTGAGTTTTTGTAGTACTTAGGTTCTTTCATTATGTGANGGGCCAAGCCCTCACGGGTTTGCTTTTGGTACTACTCCAAAAGGCCTCTTATCATTGGAGATATCTATGTGTATATAAACCCTTGACCAGTCCTTATTTCACTCAATGTGGGACTTTGTTTGCACTTCAACAATAACCAAAAAGAACAACAACACTACCAAAATTATGAATACTGAATATGCTTTCCTTTCCACGAAAACAAAGGAAATGCTTACAAAGTTGTGAGAGAGTATGAAATCACAATGGAAATAGTAATTTTAAGAATGACGAGAGATCCTTAGAGATAATGGATAATAACTCTTTATCCGATCCAACAATTATATTAGTATGATTTATTAAGACATATTAATAGTATGATTTATTAACTTATTAAGCTTCTTTATTCTAATGAGCTCAACTTAGGTTTATTAATATTATAAATATTATTATCATTATGTTTCAATAAAAACATAGGTTCAAACATTCTATAAATATAACTAACATTTTTTAAGGAATACTCACATAATATTTTATACTTATACTCATATTTTAACATAGGTTAAAAAATCTTTTGTAATTGAATCTTCTCCTTCTAAGTAGTAAGGAATTTTATTTCGACCAACAAGAACTTTGAAGCTACCACTAGGATCTTATTATCTATATGCAAATTCACATTCAAGATTCCGGTGATTGCAGACAATGATTTGCGATAGAAAATGAGATTTTCATCTTCGCATATTGAGGAGATCCAAGGTGGATTTCCGTCTTCTAGTCATCATAAATTCAAGTTCAATGTTTTCACATTAGCATTAACACTAGAAGATAAAACAAAACTACAGATATCACTATCAGTTTTAGTCAAATTTTGCTTTAATGGATATTTTTTTAAAAAAATAATATTTCTAGATTTCATAACGATGTTATTTGAAAATTTCAACTTCTGAATTAATATCCAATAATCAATGAATAGTATTATGTACCAATGAAAATTTCATCAATAATTTTAGACTGTTTTTCCTTTCTTATTAAAAGAAATATTAACTTTTGCAAGAGACACGATACTTTAAATATTTGAAATATGACTATCTCTTCTTCTTCAATATATTTAGAAAATTTTACTAGAATTAAGAAATTTTATTAAGAATATCACAAGTGAAATACAAAATTTTATATCGTATATCTTTAAAAAACATTAAATATGTTTTTAATTTCTAAAATTTTGATTTAAAATTAAAATTCGTATATATTTCAAATTTTAATATATTTTGATTTCAAATTTTAAAATAAACTAATACCGTTATTTTAAATTAATGACATAATTTTTTTAATTTATTAAATAATATTTTAAATTGACATGCAAGCTTGTAAAAATTGTATCTATTAATTTTTCAATTTTGTGAATCAAAATATATAAAAGTTTGAAATAATGATTAGTTTCTATTTGACTTAATAATGTTTTAAGTTTCTAATAAAGTTGAGAACTTTCATTTGAGTTCTAACTCTTAAATTTTTCTATTAACTTGGTGATGTAATAAATTAAGTGGGTGATGTAATTATTGTCTTTTTATATGACCTTGTTGAATTGCCTCTACATGTTATTTTATTATTTATTTTGTTAAAATTATATAAGATTATAAGATTACATGGATATAATATTATAAGAGAGAATTTTAAAATAATAAAATAGTAAAAATAACGTGTGACTGCAACTGACACGTCAAGATACAGTTAAGTGAAAAAATTTAATAAGAAAGAAAAAAACTCAATTAAAAAATAAAATTTTATTAAATACTTAATAAATTACATAAATTTATTAAAAACTCAATTTAAAATTCCTAAATTGATCAGAAACTTAAAATATAATTAAACCTTTCAATTTTGCATTAAACTTAAGGACTTAAAACATTTTTATTCTTTAAAAAAAATCAAAATGTATTCTAAACATACTATTCACGGGATTAAATAATATTCTTTTTTTTTTCTTAGTTCTATCATTAGATTGAGAAACATACGAAGGTGTCACCTGAAAAACAATACCATGCATTTAATGAAACATTGATTGATTAAACAAAATGTCTGATATTACTACACTTTAGTTTTACATTAGTTAAATAAAACATTTCCCATTAGTTGTAACTTTTAATTCTACCTGTATTTGCAATGAAACACTAGATCATGTGAATGCAAACAGTGAAATGCCCACACAATGATTGCGACATTTGAACGAAACACAATGAGAACGAGAGAATAGAAAACGTGTAATAGAGAGAGAGAGAGGGATTGTGTAACTTAAATTTCTTGTATTTTTTCTTGAGATTCTATTTTTTAAAAAGTTATATATTTTTTAAATGACAAAAGTTATAAAATAATTAGATTTGAAAATGTTTGAGGCTGATCACAGACAGACATATCCAAAAATAAAGGCTGCGGCATATGTTAGTTCTTCCCTTCCCTAGTTGCTCTGCTTAGGTACGTGTATTTTCATCGTCGTACTGTTCTGTCTGCTGATATTTTCTTTCTCTCTGTTATTTTCTTTGTTTGTTATGTTCGATATAAACCTCACACACCACTCTATCTTTTCACACAGTTCTCTTTCTCTCTTTTCTCTGTTTTCTGTTCTTAAAGTTTCAGTTTTTTTTGGGTGAATTACGTTGCCATCATCACCATGGCCATGAAAAGTGCTGCTTCCTCTGCCATTCGCTCTCTGCTTTCCTCGTCCTCTTCCACCTTCTCCAGAAACCTTCATGTAACTAAACTTTCAAATATCTTCATCATCTTCTTTCTCCCATCTTTACTACGCTTTTTATTTTTTGATAAAAATCCAAGTTTCTCCAAAACAATTCTTTCCCATACACATGACAGTTTGATCGGAATCTCACCATCAATTTTAATCACTGACCCAGTTTTACTTTTTCATCAAAGTAAAAATGCCCAGTGAAAATACTAAGTTATTCATTCAGACGATGAGCATGATTAATTTTTTCTTAGGCAAGATCATGAATGATATTCAGTGCTTGAACTTTGGTTTATGCCTGATTGTGAATGTATATTTTTTTCTTATGGTTGAGAATAGGCTCCTGCTGAGAGGAAGAAGATTGTGGGGGTGTTCTACAAAGGGGGTGAGTATGCTAAGTTGAATNAATGGATATTTTTTTAAAAAAATAATATTTCTAGATTTCATAACGATGTTATTTGAAAATTTCAACTTCTGAATTAATATCCAATAATCAATGAATAGTATTATGTACCAATGAAAATTTCATCAATAATTTTAGACTGTTTTTCCTTTCTTATTAAAAGAAATATTAACTTTTGCAAGAGACACGATACTTTAAATATTTGAAATATGACTATCTCTTCTTCTTCAATATATTTAGAAAATTTTACTAGAATTAAGAAATTTTATTAAGAATATCACAAGTGAAATACAAAATTTTATATCGTATATCTTTAAAAAACATTAAATATGTTTTTAATTTCTAAAATTTTGATTTAAAATTAAAATTCGTATATATTTCAAATTTTAATATATTTTGATTTCAAATTTTAAAATAAACTAATACCGTTATTTTAAATTAATGACATAATTTTTTTAATTTATTAAATAATATTTTAAATTGACATGCAAGCTTGTAAAAATTATATCTATTAATTTTTAAATTTTGTGAATCAAAATATATAAAAGTTTGAAATAATGATTAGTTTCTATTTGACTTAATAATGTTTTAAGTTTCTAATAAAGTTGAGAACTTTCATTTGAGTTCTAACTCTTAAATTTTTCTATTAACTTGGTGATGTAATAAATTAAGTGGGTGATGTAATTATTGTCTTTTTATATGACCTTGTTGAATTGCCTCTACATGTTATTTTATTATTTATTTTGTTAAAATTATATAAGATTATAAGATTACATGGATATAATATTATAAGAGAGAATTTTAAAATAATAAAATAGTAAAAATAACGTGTGACTGCAACTGACACGTCAAGATACAGTTAAGTGAAAAAATTTAATAAGAAAGAAAAAAACTCAATTAAAAAATAAAATTTTATTAAATACTTAATAAATTACATAAATTTATTAAAAACTCAATTTAAAATTCCTAAATTGATCAGAAACTTAAAATATAATTAAACCTTTCAATTTTGCATTAAACTTAAGGACTTAAAACATTTTTATTCTTTAAAAAAAATCAAAATGTATTCTAAACATACTATTCACGGGATTAAATAATATTCTTTTTTTTTTCTTAGTTCTATCATTAGATTGAGAAACATACGAAGGTGTCACCTGAA